TATTGCACTGTACAAGTCACACCTCCTTTTTTCCAGATCTGCTTCCTGTCCACCATCTGTACACCAGCCTCACCGCCTGGGTATCACTCAGTTATCAAGGGACAGAGTAAACCCATCCTTCCTCTCCCAGTCAGCCTCTTCTGCCTGGTGCAGGGCCAATCACATGTATTCGCACCTTGAAGTCAATCATCAGATTATTGTTTCTGCTGTAAATTTGCCCATAAAAATTGCATACTGGAATGGTAGGGTGTCGGGTGCAGCGGTTAAGCTTCTACTTGAGATACTAACATCCTTATTGTAGTGTCTGGGTTCGAGTCCTGGCTCCATTCAGAAATTCCAATTCCCTGCTAATGTGTACCCTGAGAGGTATCAGGTGATAGTTCAGGTAATTGAGTTTCTCCCACCTGTGTGGTAGACTCAGCTTGGATTCCCAGCTCCTGGCTTCAGCACAGGAATCTGGCAGGTGAACCAGTGCATTGGATGTCAGTCTCCCCCTCCTTTTCTCCTTCTCTTTCCCATGTCTACCGTGTCCTTCAAAAAAATGCATAAAATTTTTGTGAAAGTAGGATTAAGGTAGGGGCCAGATGCAAACATTTTGGTCAATTTACTAATGTTCTCATTCATTTCAGTGAATAAAAATCCCTTTTTTGGCCCGTTTTGATGGCCTAGTGGCTAAATGCTCATCTTGCATACACAAGGTTTGGTCCTAGCTGCTCCACCTCCCATCCAGCTCCCTGGTTGTAGAGGATGGCCCTAAATCTTGAGACTCTCACCCATTTGGGAGACCCAGAAGAAGCTATTGGCTCCTGGCTTCCTGGCTCCTGGCTTTGGATATGCTCAGATCCAGCCATTGTGCCACTTAGGAAGTGAAGCAGCAGATGGAAGATCTTTCTCTCTATATCTCCTTCTCTTTGTAAATCTACTTTTCCAATAAAAATAAAATTTAGAAGCCACACCCAGCCTCCCAAACACCTCTGCACCCTGGGATGCAGGACAGCATCTCTGCTTGTCTCACCTACCTTCCTGTAGCCCTTCATCATTATCACTCTATAATCAACTATCATCAAAGATAAATATAACTAATAAAAAATTTTTTAATAAAATTTAAAAAATTTGTTTCAATGTTAGCGTGAGATTTACTGTGGTCACTTTCTCACTCTCCTGCTTCTTTTTTAAAAATATCTCTATATCTGCCTTTCCAATTAAAAAATAAATAAAAAATAAACATCCCTTTAGCTATGTAATATTTTCATATTTTGCTATTCTCCAAGTTCAGACTCCATTCCTCCAAGGAGAGTAGAACTAGATTTTATATCTCACAATATTTCACTGTATGTGCTTTTGTTCCTAATCAAGTATCTTAAGGGAAAAAGATGTAATATAAGATTTTAGTTCTGAAAGGATCTTTAATAACCCATATATTATAGGCATAGAAATACTGGTACCAGGAAAAAACAGTTCATTGACTGAAATGACCATCATGTGGCTAACTGATAGGTGTAAAGCCTGGAACATCTCACTGTCCAGACAAGTGAATAGAGCTTTTTGTGCCTAGTATTTGGGCATTTTTATTGCACACCAAAGCCTGTATAAATGGTGTTCAACTGATGAGGCTGGAAAGTACAGTTGAGCCCTGCAGTGCTGCTAACCATGTCTTTGCTGTTTCAGGAAGATGTGTCCCAGGTGGTTGGTCATGGCATAGTGGTAGATCTGCAGAAAGCATTGGAGTGCCCAGCCGACAATGTATGTAACTAGTCCCTCAGATTTGTCACTGCTGGTGTGCCTCATAATCTGGGTCCCAAAGTGAAATATTGATTGCAGTGAAATCAAATACTGTATTACTTGACAGGTTATGATGTTTCTTACAACCTGAAGTAAATCCACAGGCATATCAGTGATTTTGTGCAAGGTGCACGGGGGAAGGTGCAGGTTCATTGGCTATAAGAACTTTCTTAACATCCCTTTAACAGGGCCTAGTGGCTAAAGTCTTTGCCTTGTACACACTGGGATCCCATGTGGGCACTCGATCTAATCCCAGCAGCCCCACTTCCCATCCAACTCCCTGCTTGTGGCCTGGGAAAGCAGTCGAGGACAGCCCAAGGCCTTGGGTCTCTGCACCTGCATGGGAGACCCTAAAGAGGCTCCCGGCTCCTGGCTTCAGATTGGTTCAGTTCTGGCCATTACAATCACTTAGAGAGTGAATCATCAGACAGAAGATCTTCGTCTCTATCTCTCCTCCTCTCTATATATCTGATTTTCCAATAAAAATAAGATGAATCTTTAAAAAAAACAAAAAAGGAAATAATACTTTTAGACAACAATGATTTAAAAAAAAGCTTTCTTAACAGTATGAGTATCATCAGTTTGGAGATGATATAGTGTCTTTATAATGTCATATACCTGTTCACTGGTTACCGTTCTTATTTTATGTATTTATTTATTTGTAAGATTTTTTTATTCTTATTACAAAGTCAGATATACAGAGAGGAGGAGAGATAGAGAGGAAGATCTTCCGTCCGATGATTCACTACCCAAGTGAGCACAACGGCCAGTGCTTGCCGATCCGAGCCGGGATCCAGGAACTTCTTCCGGGTCTCCCACGCGGGTGCAGGGTCCCAAGGCTTTGGGCCATCCTCAACTGCTTTCCCAGGCCACAAGCAGGGAGCTGGATGGAAAGTGGAGCTGCTGGGATTAGAACCAGCGCCCATATGGGATCCCGGTGCGTTCAAGGCGAGGACTTTAGCCGCTAGGCCACGCCGCCGGGCCCATCCATTCTTATTTTGTTACTCTGCCATCTTCAAATCATGGTATCTACTTTTTTTTTTCAATAGGCACTGGGATTTCCCCACCACCACCTCTCCCACAACCCTCCCCCCATGGTAGATTCCTCCACCTTGCTGCATAATCACCGTTCAAGTTCAGTTGAGATTCCTTCATTGCAAACATATACCTAGCATAGAGTCCAGCACTTATTGTCCAGAATGGCATCTACTTTTTTAGAGAATGACTTGAACACTACATTCAATTCTGTTCATAGCCCATTACTGGAGCTTAATCTGTAGGCACAACCTTAGTTCATGAGAAGTAATCAGATATATAGGTCATTGCAATGTTCAGTGTTTTGGTAATAACTCGCAATTTATCTTGTTTCCACGCCTCTTTCTAAAAGTACTACTAGATCTGTCCTGAACACTTGTTTAAATATATAATTGCTATTCAGTGATGAAAAGATAAGGACCACAGAAAAATAAGCAATCATAAAACCATTGCCTAGTGACTTTGGTAAACACCTTCAACTTGTAGTATCACCTGCTGTCTTTCTGTTCTACCTCTTTCTCTTACTAGCTGTGTGAATTGCAGACATATCATTAGACATATGAAAGAGTAATATCTAACTCTCATGGTAGTTCTGATGAGTGAATGAATTGTTACATATTAGAAGCATTTTGAAAACAGTCACACAGTAGGTACGCTGTGCAATACTTGTGTTGAGCAGGCTTCAGCTGGCAGAATCTGCAGGTGTTACCTTTCTGGGGTACTTTCCATCATTCTCTTGCTAGACTTTAGAGACGAGCTCTTGCTTCACTGCCCCACCAGAATCTTTCAGCTGGGAATGGGTTCCTTGGCTTACAGCATATCCAGAAGGCAGATCAAGGCACTGCCTATTGAACAAGTATACATTCTTCGGGTTCCTCAATTATTTGCATACAAATGTCTATTGAAGGTATTGTATTCACTGGAACAGGAAAGTATAGAATGAGCAGTTAACTTTCCAGAGCTCATCAAAAGTCCATTTTTCACGCTGATTTCACCATGTCTTCAGTTTTGTTCTTCCGTATCTACATTTTCTTTTTTTTAATCAAATTTTTTGCATTTATATTTGGTAATTCAAAACAGGCTTTCACAAAAATAATTGTATGACTCATTTTTGTTAGAATGACTCATTGACAGATGCTGCTATTTAATTTTGAAATCCTTAAAAAGCAACTAATTTAGAATGCTTCTCTAATTTTAAATATTTAAAACTTCCACATTTAAATAGGATGCCTTAAATGAAACCAAACAGCAGTCATTATCTGTGAGTAGAACTATTTGGAATATTTTATGCAAAGTTCAAAGGTTTGCCTGTTGGAGTACAAGCTTGTCAGGTAAATAGACTGTGGTTTCTAAAAATACCTTGAAAGGCATTAACTATTTTCCAGTTATTTGCAATGGTATTGTATCTTCTTTTTTAAAACTTTCTTTTCTTTTTCTATATTTACATTTCCATGCATTCAATTATTCATTGATCTAGCAAGTATTTAATGAGTCCCACAATATACCAGGCACTTAGAATCAAAGGTGAATAGGATATATTCTCTTTTTTTTAAACTGCATTTATTTCATTTTATGACACAGTTTCACAGGCTCTGGGATTTCCCCCAACCCCTCCCCAAACACTCCCCCAAATATATTCCTTTAGATGAACTAAATGTACTTTATTTGTGTACCTAGCATTTAGTAGGCTGTAAGTAGATATTCATTTCTTTGCCTACCCCTCATATTGTTTAGTTATGCTACCGAATACCTATGTGGCTCTCCTGCATCCAGAAGAGATGAACAGTGTTGCGTGCTCAGAACATTTACAGAATTGAATGATTTTTTTCAGTTGAAACATCAGGACTTCATTTCACCAAAATGAATGGAAATTGCATAAACTTTCCGTCTGCTTGCTACTCCCAGTTTCTTATACAGATCACAGTGGTAGAGTATTGCCAGCTTTTTTTCCACTTCCCTTCCTTGGTCTTTCCTTCAGAAAGCCTTGTAGATGTAAAGTTAAATAGGGAAGCATGAAAAATGAGGCAAAACTCATCCCAACTTCCTCTTGGCAACTCTCACCCTATGGGCTCAAAAACAATGTTGTAGTGCACCATTGTTTTTGTGAACTGTACACACCAGAGAAGTTTAAAGTATTATTACCTTTGTCCTTTTTATTCACTTAATTTTTCTCTTTTTTGTAGGTTGTTAGCCAGACGAAACAACAAAAACGTTCAACAAAAGTCTCCTTTGGTTCGCGGGAGGTATCGTTAGCACCTGCTCCTTCGTCCCAAGCAGCAGAGGCCGACTACACGGGCTGCGGTAAGACAGTCCCTGAGCAGGCCTGTGTACCCTTAGTGAACGGAGGGCTCGTGTGCTGAGCTGAGAGCCAGGAGTGAGGGAGGCAGGCTCTGTGCTGTCCTCTGCTTGCTGAACTTTGGATCACACCACTCCCTACCCCATTTTCCTAGTCTCCAATAGTGATATTACCCTCTGCGTATTACATATGCACATACTAAGACAGAAAAGGCTCCCAATAAATGCTATTTGAATCTGAACCTCATGGATAATTCTGTTATCTTTCCAAAAGGTGGTGCTTAGATCATAAGTAATGATTACTTTTTAACAATTTTTTTATTGTTGTTGGTAGTGCAGAGTTATAGAGAAAGAGAGAGAGGTAGAGTAAACCATCTACTGGTTTACTCCCCAAATGGCTGTTAACAGCCAGGTCTGGATCAGTCTGAAGTCAGGAGCCAGGAGCTGTTTCCAACTAGCACTTCCCAGGCCATCAGCATTGAACTGGAAGTATAGCAACGGGAGTGGAACTGGTGCCCGGAAGAAATCCCAGCACTGCAGGCAACAGCTTATCCCATTGTGTCACAGTACTGGCTCGAGTGATATTTCTTAAAAGTCATATCGAATCCAGGCTTTAGCCATGCATATGTTGATGTCAGCTGTTTGAATACTGTTAACTTTTAGTGCTTAAAAAGTTGCTGTTTATATTCTCTCTTGAAATTCCTGGCTTGAATTATGTTAATTCAGAGTTGAAAATAGAATTTCAAAATGAATAATGGGCATTTGCGCTTTATGCAATAAAATCTGTTTTTTAAAAATGGATTCTTCCAAACACCAATGGCAAAGCATAAACCTTGCATTAATTTAACAGGTGTGTTTTACCTTTGTGATATTTGTCTTACATGTAATTTTTATAAATATTAACTCGTGCTTAGCAAGCAGATATTACTTTAAAATATTAGACTTGATGACTATGGTCAGCAAATCTTAGCCAAAAGGTCAAATATGGCCTACCACCTGTTTGTGTATGGTTTATAAAGCTAAAAAAGGTTTTTAGAATTTTAATGCTTGAGAAATCCCAAGTGTCTCTTAAAAATTATATTAGCTTTGAATTTTGGTGTTCATAGTAATGTTTTATTTTAATGCTCACTGGTTTATGTGTTATCTGTGGCTACTTTCACTCTGCTTTGATAGAGCTGAACAGTTGCAACAAAGACTTGATGGCCAGTCATGGTCCAGAATATGTGTACTTGGCCTTTTACCAAGGAACTTTGCTGACTATGCAGGTGATATAGGCTAGTTGAGGTTGTCTAGTATATCACATGTTTCTGCCTAAATAACAAAAACATGTCATCCTACAATTGAATCTATTGGTGTTTTATTCTTGTGCTCATCCACTTCGCCAATGTTTAGGGAGGACTCTGTGAACTGAGTTGGAACTGATGGGAAAAAGATGTCACCTCCAGTCACTCACTGTTTTTTACCATGCTCTTCCTCAATCAAAACAAGTCTTAGAAAAGGCGGTATGAACATCCACTCTTGGATGCCATTTTTATTATGGATCAGCAGGAAAGACGGTGTGAAATACATGTACTTCAAAAAGATCTAGACAAACTTTACAACTTCTCATCCTGCTTCTCATGCACCCATTTTTATTCCTGCTAAGGTTGTGTCAATACATTTCTTCCTCCTCAGCAGGAGACCATTTGAGTAATTAATGTTTCTGGAGAGGAGCAGAAAGTATTTACCTCCTAAAGCAAGACTCACCCACCCAGTCCACCTCACTCGTCTCACAGCCTGTTCCCTAGCGTACGCATGACCTCACTCGCAAGCACTGAGCTCCACTGCACGTACTCGCATGGCCTGCGGGACTCCAGTCCACCTGTGCACAGACCCTGACCTGGTTTATCACAGAAGCTATAGGACTGCTTAGAACAGAATCCCCTAGGGCTCAACATGCCTGTTGCTTTTTGTTTTCCAATAAGCAAGATTTTTTTCTAGATAGAACCAGGTAGTAACCATTTGAGGCTCGCGGGCCATGCAGTCTTGGTTGTAGCTACACTGCTGTGACATTGCAGTGAGATAGTGAGCTCTGGGCTTGGCGTAAATGACTTCATGGAGCTGCGTTCCATCATAATACTATGGATGAGCACTGTAATTTGGGTTTTACGTAATTTCATTGTGTCTTGTATTATCACATTTCTTTTGATGTTCTTCAACTATTGATGAAGACTGCTTGGGCTGCGGGCTCCTCGCTTTTGCATAGGCGCAGTGAGCTTTGTGGGTCTTGTCTTAGCTCTGTGTAGGGGCTGCAGCCAACCATGCCAGGGCCCTCACCTGTCACCTATTTACTGAGTTGGTGTTCCCATTGTATTTTAAAGCACCACAGTTATTAGTTATCATAAAAGATGGCATTCATGGAGACTGCTTTCTATATAACAGTCTCTTGAAACAATTTCACATGCTGAATGTATCAACTGCTTAATAACATGCATACACATGTATATAGAATTTGTGCTAGATAAAACAAATATTATCACAAATCTTTCACCTATGAACATTGTCCCAGTTTTTTAAAAAGACTCAGTCTAGAATTTGAACTGTAATACTGCAACAAAGTGGAGGAATCCACCATGGAGGAAGGGTATGGGAAGGGGTTGGGAGAACCCCAGAGCCTATGAAACTGTGTCACATAATGCAATGTAATTAATTTAAATATATATATATATGTATATTTGGAAAAAAAGGACTCAGTCTAAAGAAATGATTCTTAAACATAAACTAAACCTTTATAAAGGCCTAGTGCGATGACCTAGTGGCTGAATCCTTTCCTCGCACATCCAGAATACCAGATGGGCACTGGTTCATGTTCCAGCTTCTCAGCTTCCATCCCATTCCCTGCTTATTGCCTGGGAATGCAGTAAAGGATGGCCCAAAGCCCTGGGAGACCACATGGGAGACCTTGAGGAGGTTCCTGACTCCTGGCTTCGCATTGGCTCAGCTCTTGGGGAGTGAAGCAGCAGATGGAAGAGCCTTCGGTATCTCCTCTCTGTGTATCTGCCTTTGCAGTGAAAATAAATGAATCTTTAAAAAAATAAGTAAATAAACTCTTATAAAACTGCAGTAACTATTAACAGGATTTTTACTTATAAGCTTAACAAGTAAATCTTGAATGACATGCTTCTAATATTTTTGGCAATATATATTTAAGGACAAATTTTAGGTAATTATTTTCTGTCACATACTGTACTGATTAAGTATTTTAAATTCTTAATTCATGCTTTAATTAAAAATATTGAATCACCATTTTTTAATACAACAAATCAGAATCTTCTGTCATTGCAAGCTTTGCTCCTTCGCTCTGTAGCATGTGCCTATGTGTGCCTAATTATTTAATCATCTTAACAATTTTTATAACAGTTTTCATGATATGTTTAAGCTTTAAGATGTCTGAAATATAACTAAACTTGATAGGTTGTAGTCAGAAGTTATTGTTTTCATCTCAGAAGTGTTGTAGGAATGCCATGTTTCATCCCTGGGCAAATGATCCAGATTTTTCCTTCCTGGTGCTTGTCAGGAGCAGGTGAAATGACAGTCACATGCACACCCTTCATTCCTGGCTGCCCCTCTCGCTCACCTGCAGTCTGTGTGCACTCCCCTCCAGGCGGCTTCCAGGCACCTCTGTCAGTGGACCCTGCAACATGTCCCATTGTCCCTGGCCAGGAAATGATTATAGAAATCTCCAAGGGACGTTCAGGACTTGGCCTCAGCATCGTGGGAGGAAAAGACACACCTTTGGTAAGTTTCCAGAAATTGAACACCTATGCTAACTGTTAGTTGAGAGCCTTGTTAGTGCCCAGTGTCCCTTCCCCAGAAGACAGCTTTCTCAAAGGTTGGGGGAAAAAAAACACTCTAAGTAAATGTGTTTCAGTGTTTGAATCAATTCTTGTTAGACATAAAAACATCATAACAGCACTTTGAAGTATGGCCGAGTTGGATGACAGACATTGTGGCATGGCAGGTTAAGCCACTGATTGGGATGCCTGCATGTGATATAGGTGTGTCATGGCTACATTACTTTCTGATCCAGGCACCCAGAAATATAGGTATGCACTTCTTTAAATGAGTGTACATAAATAGTGCCTTTCAAGTAAATAGATCTTTTTAAAATTGACATAAAGAGGCAGATACTATGACAAGTAGGCTAAAATCTGCCTGTGGCACTGCCAACCCCTATGGGCATCAGTTCATGTCCCAGCTGCTCCACTTCCAATCCATCTCCCTGCTGATGGCCTGAGAAAGCAGCAGATAATGGCCCAGGTGCTTGGGTCCCTGTACCCACATGGAAGACGTGGAAGATGCCCAGCTTCAGTCTGGCCAGCTCTAGTTGTTGTAGCCATTTGGGGAGTGAACAAGCAGATGGAAGGCATCTCCCTCCTCCTCCGTCCCCCTCTTCCAGTTTCTCTCTCCACCTCTTTCTGCCTCCAAACTGCCCCTCCAAAGAAGTCTTGTCTGCTCTCTCTGGGCCCCATGGCCTATACTCAGCTGAACACAGAGCTGCTCTCAGCTGTTGCTCTCGTTTAGCCTTCAGTCATATTTCTTCTCTGCTGTTTACTGGTTAGGGCAGGTCCCTTAGCCTCCTGGGAATCTTCTTCCTGGTCTGCTACTGGAGACAGTCTTACCTTGTGGAGCCACTAAAGGGATCAGAGAGGTGACCTGTGTATAGCCTCAGCTTCAAGCCTAGCACATAGGACACAACTGCACATGACCCGTACCTTCTCCACACCTCAGTCTCCACACGTGCAAAATGAAGCTTAAAAATCCTGACTCATTGGCTTGTACTGCAGATCAGAGATTTTATAAACAGGAAAAAATTCTGTGAATGCATGTGTGTGATACATATATACATGTGTTTGTGTCATTGGTATACCACAGCCACTGGGAGAGTATTCAGAAACAAAGTGTTGACACTGAACACTAGGTAGTTATCTCCTTCCAAAAGAGCCCGTTTTTCTTTTCTTTTTTTTTCCCCCTATGGGATATTCCCGGGTAGTGTGTGAAGCCTTCTGAGAGATTTAAAAATCTTAAAAAGTAGTAATAAAATAAAAAGTAAGGATATATTTATCAGGAAGACAGAGTTACAAAGTGAGGAGGAGGACTGATTCACTCCCCAGATGACTGCAATGGCAGGAGCTGGGCTGGTCCAAAAGGAGGGGCCAGGAGCTTCTTCTAGGTCTCCCCTGTGGGTACAGGGAGTCAAGCACTGGGCCATCCTCTGCTGCTTTTCTAGGCTGTTAGCAGGGAGCTGGATTAGAAGTACACCAGCTTGAAGATGAACAGGTGCCCTTATGGGATGCCAGTGCCACATCCCAGGAGGAGGCTTGGCTTGCTACACCATGATGCCACCCCAGATTTCTTTTTTAAAAAAAATTGCATTTAAAAAAATAAATTACACCAAAGTAAACCTTTTAATTCCATCTTTCCATGAATGTTCTGAAGTATCCTTTTATTTGAAATGAACCAAGGAAATTACATTTTAAGAGAATTCTGCAATGAGTTATTTTATAGAGGAAAACCCATGATTTATTTTCTGTAAATACACACCTCCTTATATTGCCTAAAACAAGGCCGAACTAGATTTCCCATAGGAAATCAGAGAGCATGTCTGGCCAGCTGACTGCGTTGTGGTTTCTGTTTTTACGTTTGTTGTTAATGTGCTTTTGCTTGTGTGAGCTGATTAGAATACCCAAGCAGGATGCGGCCCTGCTGGCCCTGGGTCCCTGATGTTGCAGTCATTCTGCTCGCTGCCAGCTAAGGCCTTCCACTAGTCTACACCACCTGCAACAGTCTGAATGTGAGCCTGTTTGCTAAGTAACATAATATGCTTCTCTTGCCACCACGAGGAAGGAAAAAAACGAAATTCATTGATGGTATCTTGAGATCCACAGCATATGGCCATGTCTTTTGAGATGGTAAATCCAATTGTCCTTGGAAGGATAAGTGCCAATTTAAAATGAGATGTTTGGGGGCCCAGCACAGTCACTTAGCAGCTAAAGTTCTTGTCTTGCACTTTCTGGGATCCCATATGGGTGCTGGTTCTAATCCCGGCAGCCCCGCTTCCCATCCAGCTCCCTGCTTGTGGCCTGGGAAAGCAGTAGAAGACAGCCTAAAGCCTTGGGACCCTGCATCTGTGTGGGAGACCCAGATGAATTTCCAGGCTCCTGGTTTCAAATTAGCTCAACTGTGACTGTTGTTGCCGCTTGGGGAGTGAATAAAGAGGAGATCTTCCTCTCTGTCTCTCCTCCTCTCTGAATATCTGACTTTTCAATAAAAATGTTTTAAAAAGATGAGAGATGGGGCACAACTTTTGTTCTGTAACCTCAGGTACTTCATCAAAGCCAGAAGTTGGACTCACAAGAAATGTACAGGCCTGTCTTTTAATAAGGCTGCAAAGCAGAGGTATGAGAATGCTGTTACAAATGCAGCCATTGGTTTTCCACAGTAGAGACGAGATCTTTCTTTTTACTCCTCTTGCCCCCTCTGAATTTTGACATGGAAGATGCAACCTCATTGAAACTCTGGATCACATTATCCAACTGGATCTTGGGATCACATCCAGCCACTGAACTTACTGAAGAAAGATGGGGTTCTGGAAGATGTTGCATCTGCTTGTGAAGAGCACCTTTGCTCTTTTGATTGCGTGATGCTGGGAGCAGGGAAGAGGTCCGTGATGAGTCTGCACTCTTTCCCAGTTAGGGTTTCCAAGTCCTCTTTGTAGTGTGTCCAGCCAATATTTTTGTCATCTTAGGGGAGTTAAGTCTCTGGGACTTGGTCTTGACACCCCATCAGTCCTCTGTGTTATAAATAGATTGTCTTTAGCCAAGACAGATGGTTTCTGAGATCACAGAGGGAAATCGCACTTAGTATCCCGTTGAGTTTGCAGCTGGTCATCTAAACCAACCTTTTAAAATAGCACAAGAATGGGGAGCATGGGCCTCTTGGGAAGGTTTACAAGCACAGATGGCCCCACTCGTCACTGAGAGATTTCTGCCTCTGCTGTTTGAGTCTCACGATGTTGCTCTTGGGTCTGCTTTGGAGAATGTGACTCTTCTAGAATCAATTGCATGTGTTTGCTCAAGGCTATGGCCTTTGAGACGTTAGCCTTGTGGTTAAGATGTCTGAGTCCCACACTGGAGTGCCTAGACTAGTATATATAATGGTTTGAAAGGAGATTGGATGTGTAAGTGAAGAGAAAATACACAAAGCTATTACTGTCCTCACTTTCATAGTTTGACTCATAGCTATAAAACATACTTGTGACTTTCTTTTAATACCCATTGCACATTTACCTGGCCTGAGCTAGTCAAGTTTCTCTCTCTGGTAGAAGGACCCAGGTCACCTTTCCTGAAATATGAGTCTTCCCTCATTTTTTTTTAATTTTTTTAAAGGATTTATTTTTATTATTTTTTTATTGGAAAGGCGGATATACAGAGAGGAGAGACAGAGAGGAAGATCTTCCTTCCGATGATTCACTCCCCAAGTGAGCGCAACGGGCCGATGCCATGCCGATCCGAAGCCAGGAGCCTCTTCCAGGTCTCCCACACGGGTGCAGGTTCCCAAAGCATTGGGCCGTCCTCGACTGCTTTCCCAGGCCACAGGCAGGGAGCTGGATGGGAAGCGGGGCTGCCGGGATAGAACCGGCACCCATATGGGATCCCGGGCGTGCAAGGCGAGGACCTTAACCGTTTGCGCCACGGCGCTGGGCCCTTCCCTCATTTTGAGTACCATGATTTTCCATTCACCTCAACCCCCCCAAGAATTGCCTGGCTTTTAGACAGAGTCTACCTTGCCTTAAAAGGTATGGTCTTCAGATCAGCAGAACTCAGAGTTGTAAGGATGGGAAACAGAAACTCTACAAGCAGGTAGTTAAATGCAGTAATAATGGAGCATCTCCCACTTTCAGTCCTTCATTTCCAGACCCAAGTATTCTAGCTGTGAGAAGAGATCACCATACAATAGCTTCAAGGTGTGTGCTGCGCCCATAGACAGTGTATACACTGAGTCCAACAAGAGTGATGAAAGACATTCTCCAGTGGGGCAGAAATTCAAGCTGTGTGTTTGGGAGGAGAAAACTTCATTCTTAACAGGGATTTATCTCCCAGCTGGAGCTAGGACTGAGCGTTCAGTGAGCCATTACCAGTTTCAGCAAGGCTAAACAGATCCTGTCGATGAGATGTGTGGGAAAACTGGTTAATTCTGCAAACATGAACAACTGTCATACTTCCTTTGTATCAGATGTGTTCCTTTGTACAAAAGATTGGAATGAGTTCTTTGATCCTTGTTCAGAACGCTTGATCATAAATATTTATTCCCTTCTACCCACCCATCTATCCTCCTACTCCAAGTTTACTAATTAGTTTACATTGAAATCTAAGGTTCAGAGGACTTGTGCTAATCTCCCTAATGAAAGATCAAAGGCACTTTTCTTTTCTGATGCTTGCATCCTATTCCTTAAAACCTCCCTGAATCCCTCATTGTCCCCTTCTCAGAAATGCTTGCTTACTGATTACAAGTTTTACACTACTGTTCTCAGAGCAAGTATAATATAGCTCTCCAGACTCATTTACTGAAGTTATTTTATCATCAGCCTCAGGAGTTCTAGCGAAGAAAGCAAAAACTTAAGAAATAAATCTTTCATCTTGGAATATCAGTAAACTTGACTTGTTACGGGGTTGAGCAATTTGACAGAGATGAGGTTAAGGCCTCTAGGACCCTTTCTGTGTAAGAGAACTGCTCTG